TGGACATGGACGGGGACCTGCACCTGGACCTGGATCTGGACTTGGTGTTCTGAGTGGGTGGTTAGTTGTTTTTCTCACCTTTTGGTACTTGTGGATCTGGTCTTGGTTGTTTCAGCAGATTTTTGTGCATATTTAACTTGTATTTGGACCCAAGTAGCTGAACCGGGTTGGACCTGTGTCCGGGGGTCAGTGGGTCGAGTCCAACTCACTCCCTGCTGAAGGGAACAAGCCCAGAAAACAATATATTGTTGTTGTTGTTGTTGTTATGAACGTGTGTTTTTAGCAGCAGGGTTCTGGACGGGCTCCCTGCTCTCTTTACGCCTCTGCTGAGTGAAGAGCTTGCTATGACGGAGGCACAAAAAGGAACCAGAACTCCATCGTGTTCTGGTTTCATCTGAGCCTGTTGTTGTTGTGTGAGCGCAGCAGCTGATTGGCTGCAGCAGCTGACTGACAGCAGCAGCTGAGGGTCTGTTAGAAGTCGTCCTCAGATCGAGTTCCTCCTCTGAACTGACCCGATGCTCTCTCACAGACGGACACCTCACCAACAAGCCCGTCAGACGATGGCTTGGCAGGTCAGATGACCCGCTACTGCCTTCAGCAGGTACGAATCAGCGTTTCTGCTGGAAACTGGATGAAACACAAACGACTCGCTTCACCTGCACACCTGGGATCTGAAACCCTCAGACTGTCTGTGGGTGTGTTNAAGCTGGTTCCTTGGTGCTGTGCTGTTTGTGGTTATGTGGTTGTTTAGCTGCTGAGGAGAGGTGCAGCTGAATGTGAGAGGACGATAAATCACTCAGTAGACCTCTGAACAATTTGCCCCCACTTTTAAAATGACGGCTACGCCACTGGCCACACTGGCAGTAGGTGCGCTGTGTAGCAGTAGAACAACAGGATGTCATGGTTACTAAATGTGAAGAGCTGCTGAGCGTTATGCAGACAGTGGTTCACACAACAGCGCTGACAGTACATGATGTTAGCTAAACATCGCTGAACGTTTTACAGACATGCTCAGTTCTACAGCGTGTTCCTGTTAATTACAGCGTGTGCTCGGAATAAAGCTCACAGCATTTTTCTGTTTAACATACGTGTGAGAGTTATTACGGTCAGATGATGTCTTTTCTACAGGAACAGTCAGTGAAGTGTCCTGTTTGGGCTGCTTATAAGCTTTTACACATTCACAGTCTTTTACTGTCACAAAATAACATTTTGTTTAATCTACGGATGTTTTTACTGAATGAAAGAAAAGTCTGAGAAATATGAATAAATAGTCAACAACACAATATTCACTTTTTACAACAGATTTTAGCACAATGTTCAGAAGACGTAACGTTATAAACTCCTTCATGAAGGTGTTTCTCTTACAGACGGAAACTGTTTTGAAGTTTCCTTGAAGATGATGTTTGTGTTTGAGCAGAACTGTGATGAAACAACGACCGTCAGTGAATGATGAACGGTACCGCCATTCATTCAACATGACGGTCATGGAACAGGTTGACTGATAGACAGGTACGCTGATCACCTGGAGGTTCTGTGAAGGTTTCATAAAGGTTGTGGCCAATAACATAAAACTGTTGTTCTGTTTGTTCTCTGAGCTCTGGTGGACTTCTGGTCCATGTGAGTGAAACACTGAACCAGAACCTGGACCTGGACCTGGACCTGCACCT